ACATCAGCACTGACTGAAATGGGGGAAAGTAATTAAATTCGTTTTGTTTTCCTTACCCCACACCCTTGAACACACTCTCTGAATTGGAGATAGGATCTATGATATACTAGCTCAGCAAGACCATAATTTAGCTCCTCCGCGCCTCCACTACAATTCTCCGTGAACTCTGTTTGAACCGCCTCAGTGGCAATAAATCATTTTTCTCTCTCACACAAAAGCGCGCCGGTCGCTCTGGGTGTCAACCCTTTTACAATTCCTCCTTACCTTCTGCGCTCTCTCGCCTGCTGACACAAACAACCGAGCAAATCGTCTATAAACTTTTATTTTTCATACCAATAACTTACAACGGTATTGGGGAATGGGGAGTAGGCCTATCTGCAACCGCGCACACACGGGGGAATCTGCAGAATACAATTCTTGTATTTATTTTATTATATTTTCCACATAAATTATATATTCCTTACACTCAAAAAACATAATTGTTTTTCAGAGCTCAACAAATGCACGGATAAGTTAATGTATTTCCAGGGGACAGAGCTGGGCAGATAAGAGGAGACTGAGAGAGAGAGCTGGGGAGAAGACGTTAATGGGCAGAGGATGCTGTCGGTTAAAACGGTGCATACAAATGGCGCTGTCTTGGCAGAGCAAGGAGAAGATTTATGGGCCCGGTGCCCTATATTGCTGTAAACAATGCAGAGTGAAATGAAAGGACTAGAGTTTGCAGACTGCACTTCATAAGTGGGGAAAAGACACACATTGTCAATTTCCAAAACAAGTCCTGACTTTTGCATAAACCATGTGCATTAACATGGAGTATTAATTTGGGCCTGTTTAAAGCACAGCTCACTGTAAATTCTGGCCTGTCTGTGGAGAGTGCACATAAATCCTGTCGTTCTGAGCCAATGGATATCTGAAAGTGTCACATTTGGAAATTACTTTTTTTTTTACTCTGGCGAAATATGCGTCTTCATCAGAATATCTTTAAAAGTATAAAAAACAAATATGTTTGCTATATTTCCCTGTGAAATCTGATAAGTGTTAACAGCTTGTGTGTGTATTAACAATTAAAGCCATTTTGTTTTTCTTCGCAACTAATGATAATTGACCTGTTTTACTGTTTAAAGCAAACCTTTAACATCATCATAATAGGCTTCAATATATAACAATACATTTTTTTCATCAAATCGATTAATCTGGACGTGAAGGCAGGTTTTACATTTTGGTAGTGAGGTGACCCTTTTGCACATCCAGATGATGTATTTTGCCTTTAACATTCAATTGCCGGTAACATTCCAAATGCTGCAGCAGCTGTCCTCAAAGTATGAGACTACTGCAGTAGAAAAGCAACTAGTGGTCCCACAAATACACCAGAGAATCATTTTCACAGAGCAAATCAAATAAAAAGCACATTTGCACTTAACCTATACATAATTGTGGATCTATAGTCTCAGGATCCCAAATTCAGATCACTTTTGCTAATGAAAAGTGAATAACATAATCATAACTCAATCTAGTGACTGTCTGGGCCCCCGGTGACACCTTGAACTGAGGGAAAATGACTGTAATTTCTATGGTCTTCAACGATGCAGCAAATAGGCTAATGAAAAATTTCTCAGCGAGGCATTATGATGACATAAAGTGTTACTGGCAAGTTTACCCATGGCCATCATGTCCTGTGTGATGTGATGTTGGAGTCTACAGCGTGATATCAGTGTTGATCCAAGCTGCTTTGTCGTCCCCCTGCTTGAAATGTTTGCCAGCACTGACAGTAAATCATTTAACATGTCTGATGGAGTTTTAAAATCTAGTTTTATGTAAATGTGTTTAACTCAACAGACACACACACACACACACACACACACACACACACACACACACACACACACACACACACACACACACACACACAGGGACCAAAAAAAAAAAAGACATGGTGCATCTGCTCCCAAGAGTGAACGGATGGGCGAGAGATTTACGGATTTATGACACACCCACTGCTGGTCACTGCGAGAGAGCCTCTCTGTCCCTGGAAAATAGCAGCATGACCCCTGTTTCAACTCTCAGCTTTTATGCAACTGCCATGGCCTCCGTTTAAACACACTACGCCATAACAATACACCTTTCATCACAAACCAAAGTGGTTGAAGAAGACACACCTGAGACGAGTGGAAAAAACCGTTTTGCAGCCTACTTAGACAATAAAAACAGGTAATAAACCACTACACCGACACAACAGCTGATCATTTTGGTTTCGTATTTGCCTCTTGTTAAAACACTTCGATGGCTGTTTATGTAAAGTTTGTATCCACCGAGAGAGAGAGATAGAGAGAGAGAGATAGAGAGACGCCTGAAGTGCTCATAAATCACATGGAGCCTGCAGCAGTGCAATGTGAGCTGAAAATCATGTGTGATTCAACAGTTTCGAGTCAGAAAAGAAAGCAGTTAGGGCTGAGTAAGTGTTGGGGAATTTAAACACTGAAAATACATGAAATAATAACTATATTCTTTTAGTTTAAAAAAGAAGAAGATTCAACTGAGAGCAAAGGACTGATTTAAAATAATTCGCTGGAGGAAGATTAAAATCAATGAGCGATTATTTGAAACTTTAGAGTGGCTCTTATTCATAAAAAGGACAACAGATGAAGCTACCTCACGGATATTAAGTTGTTTTTTAGTCATGTTGATCTTTTAAAAGGTAAGACTTTGAAGTTAACAGATGTAAGGAATGATTTGCTTGCTTATTATGTGTAAAGTATAATATGAAATTATGACAAATATCTGTGTAAATATTAAAAAAGTAATGTTGATGTCATTGCCCATTAGTCCAAAGTTTAATAACAAAACGCCAGGAAAGACTTATTTATGACTGATAAACGAAAGAGCTTTTGTTTAAACAGTCATTCTAAACACCACATTGTTTGTTCTCTTAATAAATCTAGCAGGGCCTTATATGGCTGTGTTAATTGTTTTTTTGGCACAGCTCATTCAACGAAAGGTCCAGACAGAAAATCTCAGCGAATTATACTTCATGTTATTACTTTACACAAATCTTCAATTAGAAGAGCTCAAACAGAAAGCGACATCCCGTCATTGTTCAGGTTGTGGTTTGAGCTCCACCTGTAGCCTCGGACACAAGAGGAGGAGGAGCATGCTGAATTATCATACAGGCTATAAATAAGAGACACTCTGATTAGTTGCTTTGGGTTTTAGTGTCAGCTGTTTATCTTAGAATGCATGCTGTTGAATATGTTTCCCTGAGCGCTGAATATTTGGTCCTGGCCACACAAGAAAGACCAGACGTTTATTGCACAACGCATCCAAATAATAATATTGTGATACAATTGAGGCTGCTTGCAACCAGCAGTAAGGTTTTCCAAATAAAGTAAACAGAAAATATTTAAAATATCTAAAATAGCTCACATTTAACGTTGTTGTTTTAATCATTTTGGGGCGTCCGAGCAGAACTTTATTTCTCATCAATAAGCTTTATAAGTTACTTTCTGTCTCATTTGCGAAAAAGAATTAGCATTTTGATTAAAAATACATTTTCGGAAAGAGTGGCGCGTCAGTGGAAAGCTTGCAAGGTTTTTAACTTGAAGGTCCCTGTCCATAAACTAATCACAATGACCAACTATCCTAGTACTGTCAGAGACACCAAGCTATAATTGGCAGCTTGTTTTTGAGCGGAAGTACCTGAGGCGAGCTATTCTCTTAAGTCACACAGAAGTCACATGACCGCATAGACTATTTTTACTGCCTCCTATTTTTGAGACTTTAGGGAATGTAATTAATCTCTGGAAAATGGGACATTTTTAATTCTTGGTGCTAATTTTAATTTGATCAGTTTAATAAGGGTGTATAACGGGAAATATGCCCGTGTAATAAATGTACAAAATGCTTCTTCTTTTTTTTGCATGCAGGCTCGTAACAACTCGAAATACAGATATTTTGAATGAAGCATTTCTCCTAATCTCTCAGAATATTGCTTTCATGTGTACTTCTGTAAACTCCGGTGAAAGTAACCACAAATTGTTGGAAGCTCGGTTTCAGATGCTCCAAGAAGGACGCAAGTTTGGAGGTCCTAGATCTGTTGGATACAGAGAAGAGGACTTGTCCGAGAGTTGAACACTGTCCTGGGTCACTCTGATTAACAAAAGGAGCAACACATTCAGTGATGCCCCGCCACAGGCCCCTCTCTAGGCACAACGCAGAAATATCCACAAAGAAAGACGAGGCCAAGGGGGACCAGTGAGGGCGCACACAGAAGGTACACGAATAGAGAGTGAGTCAGGTCACAGGGTTGGGGAGGTCGGCCATCCAGACTGAAATGAGCTTAATGGGACAGAAAATGTGTCCTCGAGGCGAACTCGGCCTTCTCCCACTTCGCCCCCAAACTTCAATAAAGTAGCTTTTCAGCCTCGCGACATGGAGGCGACAGGGCCTAGAAAGGAATTGGAGGGATGCTGCGACTGTGGCGAGCACATTAATTTCTCTAATCTGTCCAGCAACATAAAGGCTTGTGGATTCATTTTTCAGCGCCGTCTCACCATTCTAGTGCCTCTCCAAAAGCCACGTCCAAAAAGCAGATGGTAACCGCTGTGGTCCAGTTAAAGTACTTTATTTCAAAGTACATTCAAACTCTAACGTTTGGGAATAATGGTGGAAGATATGGCCTGGTAGATAATATTTAGCAAGATCAAAACTGGCTGTTGTCAGAGCTGTTTTCCAGAACATAACACAAGGCTCTGCAGTGAAAGATTGATGATGGAGAATACCTCTTCCCTTTGTGCTCCCTTGCCCCCCACTACGTCAGGCATTTTATAAGGCCTATTCATGTCACAATTTAATAATCTATCAAATTATTGCGCGTCTTTGGGTTCAAGTCATGTCTAAACTGAAAACCCTTCTGCACAGATCTAGCCCACAAAAAAACTACAAAAAATGAATACATCTTTGTGGAAAAAAATAGATCTCAAGACAGTTGAGAGGTGCAGCTTGAGTGATATTTTGTAAAATAGTTGTATGAGTCCAGCAGATATACAGTCTTTAACAGTCCTGTGCGTCGGTCCTCCGGTGTGGCCGATGACGTTGCAGTAAGACGCGCCGTTTTTTTTGAAATTGTAGTTGTGGTGTTTCTTGAATTCTCGCGAGCTGCTGCACACTCTGGAGGCAAAGCACCCACTGGGGAGACAGCAGGTACATGTGGCAAATTGTTTATACAAGCAAAAGCCGAGAGTGAACAGACAAGAAAACATCAGCATTGTTTTCTTTTTGCTAGGGCACTGCTACAGAGTCTGATAACAAAGGTCAACTACTCCATCACCACATGACGCGTCATAGAATCTATCTGCATCTCAAGACTTTATTGTATTTATTTTTATTTCTGTACATTTGAAAACTCAGCCGCATGGCGCAGTGGACTGCAGAACAAAAAGCAGGGAAAATACTAGGTTACAAAATGAATAAGAATATTTTCACAACAATGTGTAATGAACAAATGTCCTCTTAAATTGAACGCATGCAGCTTTGTGTTCAAGTCAGGACGAAGGAGCACTCAGTGCAGAGTGAAGGGCCTCAGTACTTCTCTTCAGCATTAATTGAATGCCCTTCAGACTGATGAGGTTGCACATAATGCACAGCGCAAACTATTTCATTTTCAGATTTTAGAAATAACTTCAGTCCATTATAAATTTGGTTTTAAAACACATACATACACACACACCCACACACACACACACACACACACACTATCTCTTACATACACACACAGTCTGTGCACGTTGCTAAAGACGCAAGAATGAGCTGCAGGATTTACAATCACAATTTAAAAACACAGTGATTCTTGTTTCCCTCATGAAATGTTCAAGTATTCACACATCTGTACACTTTTTAAGGTGATCCCTCCGAAAAAGCCATAAAACAATAGCAGACCTCATCTTGCCTAAAATGAATTTCGACCAAAGGTATATAAAACTAGTAATGTTTTATTGACCAATATGATTAGCACAAGTACACTACACTCCGTTTATTGCATTTCACAATAATCAGCCTTTTAACGGTCTAAACACAACATCAACACCACAAAACTAAATTGTAAATCAAAATCCTGTTTCTGAAATACACGAGGTAATTCACACATTGTTCTTGTCAAAAACAATACAAGTTCAAGATCAATGGTGTCTTCCAGCTTTGTTATACCAAAAATAACTATTATTATATTGATTTTCTTCCAGTGTTGTTTGAAATAAATAGATTGTGCATTTCACCTTGGGCACCAGGGCAAAAGAATGGCCCACAATAACATTTTAATAAAATGTATATTTTGTCTACTATTTTTTTCCTTCATTCAAAACATTTTTTAATAAAAAACATCATCTTAATTGAGCATCAAATAAATTAAACCCTGTGTCACGTAAAAATAATTAATCGGTATTCGCAATAATCCATGCTATATAACATGCATTTTATATAACTTTGGACTTAAAGGAAACCGCACAAGATAGCTACGAAAACAAAATATATAATTGTTCTATAAATAACCAGTCCTTTTTCTACCCCTTGGTTCGTGGTTTTATAACCTGGTAATATCCTCTCCATGCTGTGCTCCGGTGAGTTCGTCGGGGGCCCCAGTGTTAGTGGCCGAAGCAGCGGCAACAGCGCCGGCTGCCGAGCTTGTGTTGGACCCGGAGGAGGAGGAGGATCTCACTTTGGTGTTCGGGAGCCTGTGATCCTTTTTCCATTTCATCCTGCGGTTTTGAAACCAGATTTTAATCTGTCGCTCGGAGAGAACCAGGGTGTGGGCAATCTCGATGCGCCTCCGCCGAGTTAAATATCGGTTATAGTGGAATTCCTTCTCCAATTCTAAGACTTGCTGCCGCGTGTAGGCTGTCCTAGACCGCTTGGACTCCGCTCCATTGTAACCCGGGTTCGCTGGAAATAGGATAAGTGGAGAGAAAGGGAGACGGAGAAGGGAGGAAAGGAGGGGTAAACAAGAATGGCCTCTACTGAGATATGGCTGGAAAGATTTATTGGATATGAATGTTTAGCTGTTTGAGAAATTTAAATGGGAAGTTAAGAACTTCTCAGGGTAATGAGAGGACACTCACATCCAACTATGAGCTAAATTATTAATGCAAGATTACAAAGCTCAATTTTTTTTTCTTATTCATTTCTCCCCCTCTCTCTATCGCGCAATACATAACAGCAGAAGCCACATGGTGATACGGCTGCCCTGAGTATACCTCGGCTATAAAATTTATGGTGGGTGTAATTACCAATGCCGAGTCGTAAATCCGCCTCAATTGTGCCATTTCAAAGGCTTCCCTGCTATCGGAGCAGGGGCTGGCAACGAGATGGGAGTCAGAGGGACTGATAAAGGGAGGGAAAGGGAGAGAGGAGCACGAGGAGTGCAGGGAACATGAACACACAAGTTGCCTACCAGTGCTGACGTGAATTTTCTTCATCCATGGGTACACCACGGGCTGCTTGGAGGAGGCTGTGCTGTTTGGATGCTCCGGGGTAGCTTGGTTGCAGGCGGAGGTTGCGGCTGGTGGGGTGGCGGGGGACATGGACAACTGTGGGGTTTCACATGAAGCAGGTTGCCCTTTCCCTGTCAGCAGGTGCGCAGAATGGGGTACTCCATGTCCCCTTGGCGTGTCAGGTTCAGGGATGCTTGCACAGTTATACTGGCGCTCTTGGTAGCTCGCCCGCGGAGGATATAACTCCTGATGGTGATTCTGGAAGCCAGTCTCCCTTGCGCGGCTGTAATATTCTGGACTATGCTCAGGGATGTAGTTATTTTGCGAATATTCCTCGCATGGAGGGAATTTCGGATCAATGTAGTTAGACTCCATCAAATACGAGCTCATGATCATTAATTTCTGGAGTGGAAAATAATTTTTCTAGCTTTGTCGTTTTTCTGCTCCATAAAGCCCTCCTACTTGCGAGCAGCCCTGTAAAGTTACTTTTACCACGTGACCCAATGGCCCAATAGCAGAGTAAGAGGTAGTTCCCGGATAAGGAACCAGAGGTATTTAGCATACCTACAGTCGCCATTGTGTGCACAAATCTCTCTCTCCCTTTTTCTCTCTCTCTCTCTCTCTCTCGCGCCCCCCCCCCCCCCCCCCCCCCCCCCCCCCCGTCTCTCTGGTTGTGTTACCTAGGCAATTGATCTTGGAGACAAAACTAGTAGCTAGTTGCTGACCAAGGAAAAAATAAAAACACAGGCAAAATCCTCTGGTCTCGATTATTCAATGGGACAATAGGTGATTTGCCAAGGATAAGATAGGACAATAGCAAACCAATCATTTTGTTAGCCTGCACGCCTTATATAAAGGTTATCTGCTAATTAATGAAGGCATAGTGTTTACTAACAGCACTTCAGCTGTACAACTGATTACACTCTATTAATACACTTAAGAATTGGAGCTTTATCAGTTTTGTAAGATGATATTTCTGAAAGCATTTCAGCACAAATATTTAATAGGTTTGTTGTGAATCTAAATGTCAGAGAAGACTGGAGTGGTGAGAAGATCAGGGGGTGTGGTTGATTTTTGAAAGTAGGCCTGATAATTTATAATGTTGGAGAAAAGGTGGACAGGCTGCTTAAACAAAAGCCTTCATTCAATGATGAGATATTTGTCTATTTTAAAATTATATCGCTTTTCTTTCCCAGACTATTCATTAAAAGGCTCCGCCTTCAACTTTTAATTAGAAATTGGTGAGGATAACATCCAAACCGGGCCTGATTGAAGCTGACATGAAGAAGCTGCTTTGGAAATCTGCCTGAACGAAGGTGTAGGGTGCTTTACAATGAAGCAAATAAGATGATAAGAATAAAAAAAGTTATGGTGTTCCTATTGTCTACACTAGCATAAAACAGTAAAGTAAAAAATGCCTACACATGCCTTTAACTTTTGACAATAACCTCTAATTCTGAAATATACAATAAGCATTTAATAAAAGCCTTTGATATGTACATTGAAAATAGAGAAAGTAGAGAAAAGTCATATACTACAAGTAGGGAACAGACAACAGTGGAGCAGCCAACAGACCAAACTATCTCAACACTGGGAAATCTGTGAAGTCACAAACCTGACAACTGCAGCAGAGCAGCATCATCATGTCACAAACCAGACAGAATGAACACAACCAGCATGATGTCACAGAGGACCAACACTGTCATGATGTCACAGACCAGAGAGTCTCAGAATATTCTGGTCTGCTGAGTTTACTGCAGAGCAGTCCTATTGTGTCACAGAGAAGTTCAATCTGGTCGAGCATGTTGGAGCAGCTGTACATGCAGGGCAGTCCTGCTTAGAGATGCATTCACACAATAAGTGCAACTGAACTCATCAAATTCTTCAAAGGCTATTTTCTGACAGAATGCTGCTCTTAACTGTATATTTTCATCTCCTCATGACTCTCTACTTCACCAATATTAAGGAAACAGTTTCTTATACTTGCAAGACACTTTGTGACCTTTGTTATGACCTTAAATTAAACCACGTGACCACACTATTACACTATAAATCAGCAAAACCACAACCCATATTTCATGAAAGGAAATGCTGAGGAAGATTTTGAATAATGCAGTATTGCTTTATATTTACAGAAATACATGCAACAGATATATAAACATATGTTTACAAATGTGTATATTTATTTTCCTTTAAACTATAGTTCAACTCATTGCCAAAACAATAACAACACTACAATAATATGTCAGTCTGGCTGCCTCCAAATGTTACATGCTATTCTTGACTTAAGCACTGGCCATCAGTCACATTACTGGAGGTCTGCTGTGATATTGTAAACTGATACTGCCTGGCTGTGTAAACTTGTCATGTGCTGTATGCTTCCCATTCTTATCTCAGAGTCAGCTGTGGTCAAAGAGAGACAGGGTTAACTCTCTAATAGCTCAGCAGCATCCAGAATGTATACATCTTTTCTTTTTTGATTGTTATGATAGCCTAGCTATGGAGTCATCTACAGCCAAAATTACAACCTATAATAATAATAATAATAATAATAATAATAAACGTCAGAGGCTCCCACTTGAAGAAACATTAAGCCTGAACAAAAGTAGCACACAAGTCAATCTCTGGGTCAAAAGCAGCAAATTGCACGGTAACTGATGAATATATTTTCACAGCAATAATTACATAATATGGTTAAAAATGAGACATGAAATGGCATTTCTGGCTGTCCTGTTTGTACAGAATGCGCAAGACATTTCTATTACCCCTTGCGAGAATGTTAGAGGCGTTTTATAGAGCAATAAAAGCCGTAAATCAGTCACTTTTAAACGACCCCTGCTTCCTAACGTGTTTTACAGGGTCTGACACTAGTAGCCGCACACTGTCTGCACACATGGGTCTGCTCTCTGTGGCCTACCTACACAATCTACTGTCTGGACTATGAATACACTTTGTGACAATGTTATTGCATTGCTAGTGCCTGGATGTAGGCTGTGTATATCACTGATGCTTGTATATTCAATAGCATTGAGGAAAAAAGCCAGAGAGACGTGAAGACGGGCAGAAGCAGAAGAATCCATTGGCTGGCGTGGTATTTCAGTTGCCCATGTATTCCTGTAGAGACGTATTTGCGACTGTTTGCATTTCACACAAATTCGGTTCTACAGGGTACATATAGACAACTAATAATTTTTAGGTTAGACACTGCAGAGGTGATCTCTCAGCCAAAGCTCTATGCATGCAGGTTATCACGTCTGAATTAGTACAGTATTTGTCACAACGAATATTCAGGATGCAATGGAGTAGAAATACTGCACAACGCGTGGCGCTGTTTATCACAAATACAAATCAATTCTGCTCTTAAGAGAATGTGACTTTAACATATTTTCTCCAATAAAATGAAATTCGCGTCTATAAATACGCCTTCGCGCGCGCACACCAACGCGTCGTGTGCAAAGGACAAGAGGGTTTCTTTTCTTTACGTTCAACCTCTGCCTTTGAGGTGGCTCTTATATGAATATTCAGTCACAAACACGGCAGATACAAAGGGACGGCGTGACAGCACAGATGAAAAATAAGTTTCTATTGTTCCCAACCATTTCTTCTTCTTGCTATTACCATACTGACCGCTCAGTAACCTCTCTTCCTGCCACTCTGGAAGCTAATGAGAAAAGCCTCGGATGAAAAATGAAATATCAGACATGTGACCTGTTTCGGGGTTATTAAAAACAGCAAACATGCTCAGGTTGTGAATCGATGGAATTGATTACAGTGGAAATGCACAAGGGTATTCAAACACTGTCAAAAAACATCTCAATCTACATATTTCCCCGAGTGCACTATGTGTATCAATTTATTCATTATTTTTATTGGAGAACAAAGCATCCTGAGCAAACAAACGGTGAACTAAAGAGGAAATAGTCACAAAAAGAAATCTAACTCACGTTCATTTGGCTTTGTATGCTCATCTAAATAAAAGCAGTTTGTTGTGCACTCAGTCAGTGTGAACGAGCTGCACGCACACTCCATATTCCCCTCTCGCCCCATGCGCTCTGGCGGACGCATTTTAATATTAGTTAGACAGCCTGACCCGCGTTTCACCCCTCGCGTTTGACTGGATCCAATAGTTCACTGCCAAGGATTATTGATGGAGGGACAGCAATGAATTCTTTCTCCCCACAAATGGCTTTCAGATCGTGCACCTAGTTCAATAACTAGTTATAATGTAGAAGTACAAAAAATGAGGCCCTCGGGCGGACTAATTTGATGTTTCATTTGTTGTTTCATTTGTTCATTTGAGAAATTGTTAAGCGCCCCCCCCCGCCCTGTAAAATAACAACGGTACAAGCGTGTTCACACATGTACATGTAAACAATATAAATCTGTGCGAAACTATGTGGAGGGTGTGGTTGTGTCCATGCATGGCATGTTTTTTTAATTTGGTGGCCCAGCAGCACCTGACCTGGATGCAGACAGTGCAGTAATATTCCGCTCCCTGATGAAAATGGTTACGATGCGCTTTTAATCAAACCCTTAACCTAATAGCCTTTACACGTTTACTCTCCCCAGGTGTAATAACGTTAAGCCGGATCGTCCAGTTAAAATAAAAAGTTTTAATGAAGTGCAGACAGACTGGAGACTAGTTGGACATGAATACCCTCTAACAGCAGCAGCCGGGGGAGCAGAGGTGGTTTCAGATACTAGATGCCCCACAGAAACCATTGGTTGGTTTTGCAGTTCATTATGGCTATATGTTGTGGCTCGTTGGACTCTTACTGCAGCGTTAAATCCAGTTCACCTGTGCAGCAAGAGAGCAACTGTTCTGGCTATTAACTCGACCCAAGTAGATTGCAGGACAGTAATACGAGTAGTAGCTTTTTGTTGAAGTAATGTTTGAAATTGAAAAAATCCAAATACAAGTAAAACCAGTGTGATTGTTAAACCGCAGAATAGCAGTTGGTTAAGACTGCAGGCATCAGTAGCCTACCCGTGATGCCAGTGGAGCCAGCTGTTTGCATACAGCCGAATACCAAGCTCCACGAAGTGTCACATCTCTTGACTAAAGCCAGGTGGAAAGGCGTGAGGGCGATGGATAACACTTACTGATAGATCCACGGTCCCACTCATTTTGACCCGATGAACTGTCTGAAAAAAAGAGAGACAACGAAAATTAGATCAAGAGCAGTCTATCTTTGAGTTAAGAAAATTACGTTTTGCATCGAAACTGGAAAATTAGAATTATTGATGAAGAAGAACCTAAAATTCTACACCTTGTTCAATTAATATTTACGTTTCAATGAAAGATATATTAGATCAATAAATTGACCACTTGCCGAATCAACAGATCAAGTATTTCTTAAGTCCTATTATCAGGCGTATAAATGAATGGATGCATTGTGTGTAACATATTTCGTTTTTGCTCCATTTAAATTGCCACAATATCATACAAATAATACAAATAAATTAAAAAGATTTAAATTCAAATATGAGCAATACATTCTATTTAAAAGATATCGAAAAGCCACATGTTTTATTCGAGCCAAAAACATTTTTCCTATAAGTTTACAGTTAATCTTTGTGTTGAAACAGAAAATAACCGTTTGATATGCTGCGTTATTATTTCATCCTAATGATGCTTCAGTTTGTCCCTCTTCGTCTGATCTCCTCTGTTATCTAGCCTAATTGAAGGGAGGCTGCCCTAGAAACACGTTGACATGTGTGGGCTCCTGCAGAACTGGGGCCGAGGACAGAGAAATTTAGGACGGGTCATTTTCAGACAGTAAAAAATAAATTTACAAGCATTATGATATTTCCTTGGGCATATGTTCTATGAATAGAAATCCCTGGACTTCAGCGCGGCTGAATTATGGCGAACAGTCAGTAAAAGAATCACGACGTTGTCTTCACATTGTAAATACATTCTGGCTGTGCTCGAAAACGACCTAATGGGACTTTATGGTTCTTATTTGGGCTAAGACAAAGGGAAGTCTGTGCTCACCCGGAAATGACCTCGGTGGATTGAATGATGACAGTGTCAGCTCCACAGGTCAAAGAAAGGAATACAACAGCACAGAACATGGCAGTGAAAACGGATGTTTAGACTGTTCCACTTTTATTGAGTCATATCAGAATGTTTTAAGCTGGTGTAACTTTGATATCAACAACATAATTCAAACTTCCTCTAAAGATGCAATGACTGACAAAAAAATCCTTTCGATTATAATAAGGGCACTGCATCCTCTGTAAAGATGCCTTATCACACATCAAATTAGTTGTTAATGTATTGGAGAGATGATGAATGTTTTATTTTGTTTTTTGAAGGAGAACAACTTTGGATTCTTTTTTTATTTTAGTTTGATAGCTTATGTTGATAATTTCTCGCTCTGATAACAGTAAACATGACAATACAACTGCTCAAAAACAGCACGAGATCAAATAAAATCAGAGGATATAAAGAGCACTAATCCATGTCCTTACGTGGACACATTGCCCCCACAGTGAATCACCCACACAGGAGCGTGTTACACAGTGCCCCCTATTGGAAGTGTATAATTGATCATCCACCTGAAAACAAAAAGAAAAAGGGATGCTGGTGGGTTGAAAACAACACAGCCACGACTGTGAGTCATCAATACATACATGGACGTGCACATATTGATATCTGAACGTGATCCATTAAAACTCCTAATTTGGACGAGAGTGGATTCATCCATTTCTATCATATCTAATTACATTGTAGCCTTTGATGCTGCATGATGCACACCCCTGCTGCACCTTGCTCTGTCAGCTGAGCTGCACTCACCCCAAAATAGACTTAATATCAAAATGAGCCCTTTGCAATCCCACACATTGATTAAGAAAGACCAGTATTTCTAGACTGAACTGCTTTCTAAGACATATGGGCAATTAAATGATGTGCCCTATAGAGCAACAGAAAATTATCGAGCTAATAAGATCACATCGCTTCATCAGTCTCCAAACTGATCAAGTCAGTACAATTCTGCCCCTGCAGTGAGGACAAGTCTGCAGGGGAAAGAGGGTGGAAAAACAAACATTCCTCTATTGTGCAACAAAGGTGCGTTTTTGTAAAACATGCAACAGCTCTAGCTCCAACTCACAGCCACACTGATATTCTCAGGCTTTGGGTTTGGACACGCCATAATTACACTGCAAAGTGCCTTTGAATCAAACCTGTCTGTTGGCCCAGACGTGACCCTATAACAACAGGAGCTCACGAGGACAAACACTAACCTCATGTCAAGGTGACACAGTGAGATGAAGCATTTTAATAAGGTTTCGTATTTTATAGCTTGTATGGTGCAGCATTTCAAACTACAAGACAACATTTTAGTATCACATCGAACAATATTACATTTTCAACACATTTTTTTCAGCTACACAATCTGCACCCCTGAATCAAACTATGAGCATTTACTAAGAATTAAACAAAAAAAATACATACATACAGGTAAAAGAGAGAGTCAGTATGTGTATGTTTCAGAGAAAGAGGGAGAGAGTGTGGAGGGTGCCAAATTAGTTCTGATAGTTCTGGCTGACATTTAATTATTTTTCAAATTTCTTTGATCGTTTTACTGACAGGATTAAGCGAAGCAAACTGTTGAATCAAACAGGATGCCACTGTCTGTGTTGAGATACATGAATACACATATGGATATATATTATTTCTTTAGCTTTTAATTGTAAGATTGAAATCTCGTACAAATACAAAGATTATTCTGCGGAAAAACAATAACTGCCCTGACAACCAAATAACCATGAGCGGTATAATCCCGTTTCTGTCGGACTAAATATGCAACTCCAGCTGTCCTTTAAAAAATGTCAAAAACAACATTTTCCCGGTGACTCAAAAAATATAATTCTGTGATTATAAAAACGCATATTAACCATCAATTACTATCGTTCATTTTAAAGTGCATCAATTCAACATCCACGCATTCAAAGTCACGCCAACATAAAACAGAAACAATCTATTTTTTTTCACGGTGAAATAACGTTACAGTCACACAGGCCTGTAAAGGCAAAGTTAAAAGCAACTTACTGCAGCAGCTCTCAGTCCTCCGCACCACCGACTACACAGTCCGGAGAAAGGTACTGCATCCTCACTGCCACAAAGCCCTTTCTTCCTCAGATAAGGGGAACCCAGCAGCTGCGATTCCGGACAGTTAAGATTATATATGATGTGTATATATCGAAGGTTTGTCAGCTCTTCCAGGCCATAAAACCCACTTAAATGACACCACGTGCTTCCTGTGCACCATTCACAGGCCCTGCTTGGGGCAATTGGCATATGTAACCTTGTAAACTTTAAAATAGCCTAAAAGAAAGACATTCAAACAGGGATTCAATACATTGTCCACGTATATGTTAGGCCTAACAGAACGCAGAGAAAGTGGAGGCTGTGCTGACCGGTTCTCATAACCGTTAAGGAAGTTGAATAGGAAGCTATTAGTTTGAGCGGTGAGTTGATTTTTATTTTCTTTAATAGAGAAATTAGCTCATAACCTTGGGCTATGCCGTGTCATACTACGACTTCTACAAAAGCTGCTGCTGGATGCAGACACCCAGCAAGTGGCATGGTTTTATGTCCTTTATAGTAGCAGGTCGTGTTGTTTTAACTACAGTGCAATGATGCCAGGATTAAAGAGCAGGGCGATATCATAAAGTTACCATATGGCCTTTAACAGTGACGGCGCATCAGTCTGCGGCCACAAGAAACCAACGTTTTGCATCCATGTTGTGTTGAAGGCGAGTGTTATCACAGGCTAGTGTGTCCCTTCCTTCCCTGACAAAACAGGAAACGGGAGTCTGCCAGTAGCGTAGTGCTGGAAAAGGGGCAATAAAGTTTTATGAGGGCCTTAAACTTCCAACCGCGTTTGTCAGTCAATGAAATTCTGTGGATTCCAACACATCCTCCAAAAAACGTGATCAGTAGAATAAAACAAAAGAATGAAAATCGGTAGTTTCTAAAAAAAAAAAAAGTAGACAACAATGTCCATATTAGTTTAATCAACGTAACCCTGATATGAAAAATAACAGAAATGTACATACCGACCAAAGGAAAAACCCTTTACTGTTAATGATGAGACTTTATTGGTTACAATCGACAATTAAGCCATCTATCAGTTCTTCCGGGCCTCGTGTAAACCATGGCACCTTAAGTTTACAGAGGGCGAGAGAAATGGCTTCACTGCACATCACAATATTATCACATAGTCGCTGAATTATACATAACGATTTAGATTCACAATTATATGACAGACAACAGGGATGAGGCCTTCACACTCACGGAGATATCAGCTCACTGAACATACCACACATTCAACCACTGCAACATCTTAGTGGATTGAAAAAGAAAAGGAAAGAGGTGGGAAAGTGTTTTTTTACTGGTGGGAAAGTATCTCACTGTTGCTTACAGGACAGCTCATAAACAGCCATAAATAGCTTTTGTCTTCATTTTGATTTGTTGACGTTACATTTTTTCATCACATGATGTTGAGACAGAGCTGGAAACGATGCAGGCTATCACCCAGCCTCCACTACTTGTATCCTAATTCAAAACATAATTAGTAGCGTTGTGCAGCCTTTCAGTGCACCGCAGACCTAAAGCCTTGCAGCTCGAAGGGCCAAGCTCCTCTCAACCTCTGGTTATCATCGCATGGGCAGCAAATTAATTTAGAAATGTAAACCGATTGGTCAATGTGAGTGATATTCAATACATTAGGTCCCAAACTGCAGCAAGTGACACATAATTGGTGATGAAGCACACAGCACGGTGTCATGATGTCATTGCTCCTAGCAGTTCATCCGGAGGTCAGGCGGCACTCCAGCACTGCGTGGGGCTGAAAAACGTGCTGCATGCACCCGCTCTCTGGTGCTCTTTTATTCCTTCACTTTGATCTTTGAGTCCTTCTTCCACTTCATTCGTCTGTTCTGGAACCAGATTTTGATCTGTCTCTCGTTTAGACACAGGGTGTGGGCGATCTCTACGCGCCTGCGGCGGCTCAGGTACCGGTTGAAGTGAAACTCTTTCTCCAGCTCCAGAGTCTGGTAGCGGGTGTAACTGGTCCTGGACCGCTTACCCTCCGATTCTGAAGTGGCATTAAAATCAGTTAGCTTTCAGCAGCATTATAGTGGTGAATAAATATAATAGGCTAATAGTATTATTACATTAAAATAAAGATTGGTCATCCATAAAAATAAGAATTACAAGCACACATCTATTAATTTAAATCCCCGTCCACCCTCATTTGAAAGGTCAAATATCTTTATACAACCCAATTGAACCTAATCTTACTTACTGTGGTTTTGTGTAATAAAAATCATGTCAGGCTGATAAGGATGGTTAACTCCAATAAATATACTTAGCTTAAAGGAAGGAGGGCCCTCTACATTCTTTCGCATTAAAACATATAAAATACACAAGACTAGTTAAGAAAGTCTTCTTATTGTAATATGTAAAACTGGATAATAATGTGTTGGCCTTCGTGTAAACACTGACCTCGGCCTAATACCGCTGCAGTGGAACACCGTGGGAGGAAAAACAGATGTGTAAAAAAAAGAAGTGGGGTTAGAAAATGGATTCTGATGTTTCCCAGATATGTTTTCCTATTTGCAGATTTACAGACTGTTCATAGTGCTTAGAAACAGGCCTTTTGCTGCTATTGGACTTTAATATTCTAAAGTCCCTACTGTGTGCTCCAGGATGTTTGCAAATGGAGGAACACAAAACAGAAGTAGCTTCTTTTTTTTTGCAGAAAATGTGCTCACCGTCCATCTGCAGCCTAAATTGTCAACCAGTGGTTTTAAGGCAAGGAGAAGGAGCACGCCTATTCAATTCTTTTAGAGGTGAAAAGTTCACAGGGCATTGGTGTTTCCCAGAGTTCAATTTAAGGCTAAAGCTTCTCCCACACAGTGAGTTTGATAATGTAGAACATTAACTACGACTATAAAGGAAACAAGGCAAAAACTAATACTTCGAGCTGAATTTGTGAATATTATTTCATAGTTTTATCACAATTTTGTTCTCTTATCCAATTATACCACCATAAATCACCCCGCAGATCACCTCTTCACCGTAACAGAGCAGGTTTACGAGCAATGGATGCCTTTGTCATAAAATTTATGACCACGAGTTTTTATTATTTCCTGCGTTTGGCCTATAAAACTCAAGAGGGAAACTGGAACGGACGAAAAGAAGTGTTGCAGCGTAAAGAGAGAATAAGGGAAAGCATCTTTAGTCGCACTTTAGAAAATAGGCAAACTTTACCGTGGCTCATGTGCAGTTTTGTCATCCATGGATAAATCTGTGGCTGCTGCTCGCTGTCCTGACGCTGGCTCACATTTGTGTGTCGTTTCACCGTTTGCGTGTTCTCCGCGTTTCTCTCGCTCTCTTGGCTCTTGTTGCCGCCGGATTTTGCGCTCCTCTCCGGGTCTCTTTCTGCCCCTCGTCCCAGCAGCGCGCTGCTGCCGTAGTTGAGACCGCTTGCGTTCACAGACGAGCTACTGGAGACCATGGTTATCTGTGGTCCTGACGGGAGAGGAGTATCCGTATTGCCACGCAGGCTAGTTTTCATCTCCTCTCGTTCAACAGAGGTCGTGGGGACGGGACAAGTGAATATCCCGTTCACATTAACACCCTCATAGCGGCTGGACGCGCGCCCAGAAAGATCGAAACTAAACATAGTGTTAGGAGAAGTTGTCTCGCTTGTTTGCCTGAGATTGCAGCTGTCAACATAAGAGCTCATTTTGAACAATCAGCGATACTTTCTTTTTAAACTAGAGAGGGCTGCGGGATGTTTGTGGCGGTTATTTCCTTGTTTTTGTTGATCATTGCTTTTCTTTGTAGCCGCTTTTGGAAAATTCAGAGCTGTCTGGCTTAAAAAAATAATCCAGGATTTATAGGTGGAGTAGGCTTTGGTATCTTTTTTTTAATTCTTGATCCGACGTGCGCTGCCCAAATATGGGGTATTTGTATGGGATCACGTGCACATGTTGGCCAGTCATAAATTGGCTTTGATACTCAATGGGGATATTGATGAATAGGAGAAACGTGTCCGGTAAACTTTGAGCTGTTGGTTGTTGAGGACCAGGCAGGGATCTTTAGCGCAAAAAGGGCAGGACAGTAAGACAAGAGCGTCATCTGGTGTCTGGTATGGGGCAGGACGGTCAGAATCGGCCAGAGCTCTCTGCCCCTGACACACCGCGAGTCCACCAACAGCCCCATATAATAAAATAATAATAATAATGACAAAAATCATAATAATAAAAAAAAATACTAATGACATTTTAAACTGCTCACTTGTTTTAAATATATTTACACATATGGACGTCAAGTTAAAATATAGCTACGGGAATGTTATCGTTTAACCGCATATTGAACAATAGCTCATTCCCATGCTTTTATGAATCATGCCAAGTTGAATATTGAATCAATAAAAGGCCAAAATCTGTTTTAAAAAATCCTTTCATTGGCTTGTTTGTTACTTGCCGTTATAGCCTCCCTTGACCATAACGGTCATGATAAAGATAACATGTCAAACAAGTATCCACAATCACGCACTGAGTTTGGTGCCTATTTCAAGAAATCTTTCTTTATACGATCATCTGACTCAGAAAGATGCTCCCAAAAACACAGGACGATGGTGACATTTTTGCAAATATTTTATTCCATGATACACAATTATGACAAAACATGAATTCGCAACTCCCAAACAGAAGTGAAGAATTACTAGTGTACAAACCTGTTTCACAATGAAAGCCTATTGTGTCAAATTATAAACAAAAAAAGGGGGGCTACGCGCAATTGTATGTTATGCAGCGTCTATCAAAGCGGCTAAATGCACATAAGTGCTTACAGGATTTACATAGTATATTGTTACTTTGATTATATACAGGCATTTCAGTTGTTTGTGTGTGGACTGTGGTCTATGTCCGTGCAAGTTTCATGTTTGTGCAGGACACTTTTCGGCGGATGATTCAAGTGGGCCTATACTATAATACTGTGATCAAATGAAGTGTCTGCCCGGTCCTTTCCTTTCCCTCCGTGGAATGTTCATGTACAACATTGAGTTAAATCTGACCAACACTGTATTCTGTGAGGTGATTTAAAGAGTTCACAGTGATGGATGGGGTGTGGGGGGGATATATACACAGATTTTACTGGCATGAGAAATAACGTAGAAATGAATACTTCTTTTTATTTTCACAATACAAGTGTGACATTGCAATAAAACAGAATCAGCAGCCCAAGTGTCACAGGGGAACAAACTGTGGCTGAAATAATCTGGATTTCTAAGGCTCAACACTCCTGTGGTCAACATGGGATATAAGTGGGAGAGCTGCGGTAGCCATCATGCAGTGAAGTCGCTCTCAAGTCCATATAGATTTTTTTAGGTAGTTATGTTGGGTTTAAATGGTCATCAGGTGTTTCCCCCTCTTGTTTTTTTTTTTTTTTTTTTTTTTAACTATTCTTTCTTATTGTCCTCATCCTTCTGTTCTTCAATTGCGCCATTGCGTTCCTCCTCCGGAGAGGCTCCTGTCTGTTCACTTCCAGTCACCGTGGAGGTCAGGTTGCTCTCTTTCTTCCATTTCATACGTCGGTTCTGAAACCAGATTTTGATCTGCCGCTCCGTTAAACAAAGCGCATTGGCGATTTCGATGCGTCTGCGCCTGGTCAGGTAGCGGTTGAAATGAAACTCCTTCTCCAGCTCAAGTGTTTGGTACCGAGAGTATATTTGACGTCCTCTGCGTCTGTCTGTTCCGTAGCCCACTCCTGCTGAAATACAAAGTGAAGTCACTAATTGAATCGCAGAAGGCGAAGTCACATTTGACATTCAAAAACACACGCCTCTGTCTGTGCTCTAATAATACTTGAAGCAGCTGAGCACAAGTTTTACCTCATTGTTAGAATCACAAATGTAACAGAAATCCACGAAGAAAGATAAAGTAATTTCAACTGAAAGACAAATCCTTCCTCAAAGGGCATCTTAGCTGTATTATTTAAAATAATAAAAGCATCGTAATGCATGTCTCTCGCTGCTGGTTATGGCTACTATATCTTTCTTAATATGAAAGCTGTTTGTTTGCACATGTAAAGGCCCATCTACAAGTCGAGGGGATACAGTAATGTTTTATGGGGCCATAAAAAGTAACTTACTCTCTTGGTAAGACATATCGTAAAACTGGCCCATTTCCTTAATTTATTTGTCGTAGTAAAACTCACCGTTGTGTGAGTTCATTCGCTGCATCCACGGGTAGATCGGGATGTTGGTTTTCTGATCCTGCGCTCCTGCTCTTCCTTGGTCCAAACTGTACTCTTGAGCAATGTGGCTTTGTGTATTGAGTCCCATGTTTGTTTGTCTGCAACTGGGGAGCACGTCCTTGTCTTGAAGAAACACGTTTGATCCGTATTCATACTGTGCCCTGCCAGACCCAAAAACGACATTGTCTTGAGGAGAGTAGAAAGGTGCATATATCCGATTCTGGGTCACAGCAGCGCCGTACGACGAAAAATGTCTGACTGTGTCATAGGTGGTGGAGTTTAGGGGTACGTTAGGCAAAACATCTTGACCACCGGATAAATGGCAGGAGAGCGACGGGTTTGCGAAATAAGAATTCATACCTTGCCTGTAACCCTCTCTCCAACTCTCCCCACTTCTTTATCGGTCTCTCTTCAATCTCCTTCTCAGTAAATCTCCTTCCCGTCTGTGTCAACCAACCACACCTTTCTCCAAGGTCTTCCTTTTTTCTCTCGACTTTCTGCTTCTCTAACTGGACGTGGGCTACTTTGAGGATTCAATATTATTAATTTCCAATCTCCGGTTAAGACGCACAAACCCGAGTGTTATAGCCGAGGCTTGGCTCGGTGAGAGACAATATGACAACGTCAGCTGACCATTCTCCACCAATTGAGAGGCAGGAGTTGAGGAGAAACTGTAGCTTTTAGCTCAGCGCTTGAACATTAGTGCTAAATGCCGATAAACACAACGTGGAGTTGGAGTGGCACACTATAAGCTTGGCTGAATGAGATGTTTTTGACGTGAAGTTTAACAATATGTGGTGTTTGGGGAGGAAGTATGATGCGAAATGTGGGTAATGTCATTCAGTACAGTGATCACAATCAAAGCAAAGCGGATCATTTGCATAAAAATACACATGAACACAACTCCAAAGGTGGTAGAGAGTGCAGGAAATCAGCTATCAAATTAATTTACTGAAACAGAAAGAAAAGCTATTGTCTGTGATCTTGAGTGTGTGTGTATGTGTGTATGTGTGTTTTTCCAAAACAGTTTTATTTTCACAACACCACTGCAGCGATGGGCTATACTATCTGCATGCTCTCATCCCGCAAGACGCAGCACCTTTGTATTAAGACTAGAATGAATATTGGCATTTTTTTCTGTTTATCTCAGCCATATCGACGAGTTTCCAGCATACTGCTAATGTTTCCATTGTGTATGAATTATCTGGCATGTGAGCAATTTCAATGCTTTTTGCAGTGAACTGGGGGAGGGTGTAGGTGGTAAGAATGCGTTTATGGTCTCTCTTCTGTGAGGGCAATAAAACAAGTGACGTTCCCCAGCACACCAACAACTATCTCTGCAGCAAAGCCCTGCAACGCGAGCAGCAATCTCCCAGGCTCAGAAATGAAAGCACTGCACAGCACGTGGAGGCATAAACTAAATGGAAACAGCGCGTATAGATCAGACTGGCTAGCACAGAACTGCGTCCAACTGCGGCCACTCTCTATGAAAATCTAATCAGTTATGCGACTGTCCAGCACACGTCAGACAAAATCCTCCGCAGGCCAACAGTGTCCGGTGTTCCCTTTGAGCCGATAGCAGGTACAGTCTCTTTAAATCACAACAATAAATGCTATGCTTTCAGATTGATGCACAGAAGTTAGTCTTTTCCTCCTGTTCGGATCATACTTCGACATTCCTCTCGCACACAGGGGAAAGGGGAACCGATAATTATCTCAGCAGCAAATTATGGGTTTGGAAATTACTTCAGACTTGTTCTGCAAAAATCTAGCAAGTCTTGAGCGCCTGTCAGGGCGAAATGTTCTGCAACTAAATGCGTAAAATTCTACAATAATGACATAAAAGAGACCATGCAGCTTTACTCGCTCTCAGTTGTCTGTGATTAATATAATTAAATTACTTTTCGTACAGCTCATAAGAGCGCAGTTTTACACCGCCTGCATTTTCTTTTATTTAAAAAAGGACGTTTAAAAATAATACAAATAAAACTTCACACATTCATTTGAAACAATATAATTCACATTATCTTTACTGTTCGCAACAGGCCATAATAGATACCAAGAAATTAATCAATATAGTTATTGAAAATGTCTGTTCAAACGCAGCAGCCTATCCACCTCATTGATTATTTCAATGAGGTGAATACTCGCAGCCTAAACGTGCAACACTGTTTGGTCTGTTGTTTGGGATCCTCAATAGCCCATAAAAGAGACAAGAACAAAGAGAAGGAAGTAGCTGGAGCAATAAAAGTTTCCCTTCACCTTATTCGTGGCCATATGTGATATCCGCGTGGCACGAATTTTAGGAAAATAAAGCGCAAAAGTTGGAGGCTGCAATGACCCACTCCTGCTGTCCTGGGATTTTTTTCATTTTCACTTTGATATCAAGTAATGAATCAGTTGATGGACAGAACAAACATATATAGCATTGTTAAAATACTGGGAGTCCCATTTCAGCCTCTATATCTGTGTTTTTAACCCACGCAGGGCCAATGTCACCAAACGTAAAAAATACGGAAACATATCAAGTATATTCACCACTTTAACAGCAAAAATAAATTTAGATTTGAACAAAAGGAGTCCCAAAGCCCAAAATGTGACAAATGTGGTGATTGGCAGTCTACTTTGTCATGCTCACGGTGTCAGATACAGCATGTGTACTGGATTTATGAAAGTCTTTGTTTCAATAACAACTTCTGTTACTGTCATGCTGTCGTTAGTAGCTATTTACTCAGTATTAAAACATTAAAATAACTTTTTAAATATTTATTTAAACTAAATATTTTTCAAATTATTTGGGTTTTTGAAACGCAGATTTTCCTTGATTGTTATTCACTGCCAGCGGGGAAAAAAAAAAACACGCTGCTCTATGAAGTTTAGGTTGTAAATAAAGGCAGAACACTAAAGCCAATGTGTGGACTGGAAAGGCAGGAATGCAGCAGAGGTTGTGCCAGTGTGCAGAATTAGAAAGGTCATTCTTTCCCTCGTGTTTTAGTGTTTTATTGCGGCCCGTGGGGCAAATCACGTGCACGGCTTTTGATGCAGGAAGGAAAGGAGCCGTTTGGTCCACGTTTCCACGTTCTTTTAAAGGATATTATAACGATGAACGAAAGAACCAAGAAGGTCTTAGACAAAAATTATAAATGATCAGCCTAGTACTATAGGCTACCAGCCATGGATATTAATAATTAGCATTAATAATGCATTAATGAATACTATATGCTCTTGATTTGTTAGTAGTTATCATCAGTGAATGCGCAATGAAGGGTGAGACTAATGGTAATAGATCATGAGTAGTAGGGCTTCTTCCTGTTATTTATATTATTATTATTATTATTTTATTTGTCGGGGTTATAGAGTTAGTAACTATCATGTTGGATCGGTTTTAAGTGTGCACTATAATTGGCTCTTCTGCTGAAGGCCTAACTTTAACAGCCTGCGCCCCTGCAACACAACAGGGCCCATCCACGTCCATTAACCTATAACTT